ATATATATATATATATATAAGATTGAAGTTTCTTTTATTTTTTATTACTTACCTCCAAACGCTCCAATATCAACCAATGTAAATCTATATAAATGATCAGCTACGGCTAACAATACTATACTATAATATTTTTTATAGTTATAGTATAAACTTCCCGAGTTTGGAGGACAGCGCATTCTAATATGTTTTCCATCAATGGAACCCACACAATTTGGAATGTTCCATCTCTTCCAATATCCTTGTGCATATTTCGTCCAGTCTTCTTCTGTAGGTGAAGAAAGATATAGTGGTTGTAAAATCTTGATTAAAACAAGACAAACTTCTTTCACCACTTCTCTTACTGTGGATTCACCAACTCTAAATGCCAAAGCTATAACAAATGGTCGGTCACCTGTAGCAAGATATCTGAAAAAATATAATAATTGTAATACATTTTAATTAACTATGGATGCATTCCGATATTCACACAGTACTAAAAATCTATGGTATACGTTACGTGCTTTATAGATTTATAGCACTAACAGTGAATATTAGAAAACTACCTTATAATATGAATTGATAACTTGGGATATCTCTTTAGATATGAACTATGTAATCATAGGGAGCTTTCCAACAAGCGACACTGTGTAACACAGTAACCGTTTCATCTTTGTTTAACGTTAACGAACAACAAGGATGTAATGATTCGCTGTGTTATACTATGTCGCTTGTGTCTTTTGTTGGAAAGCTCCCATAGTATACCTTATAGTTATTAAAAGTCGTAGTTCTGGGAGTAAAGCACGATAACTTTTTTTTATCAAATATGGTTTTGTCAGTTCTACTAATTTCTCAAAGTGTTCCAATGTCATTCTAGTATATCGATAAAAAAAATCACAATCATTTTTTATTTCTTGGAATAAATGATCATAATCTCCCTGTTGGATCCTCTTTTGATTTATAGGACTCACAAGCCAGCGCCTATTTAACCACCTTTTTTGTTGTTTTTTACGTAGGAGCAACATAGACACGTTCATCCAATATGTCACAAAAAATATAAATTCATCATCATTTTTTATTTTTACAGCTTACGAGATATTGTAAATTATATATAATTTACTGAAAAAATATCCTGAAAAATATATTAGAATATAATATATAAGATTTGTAAATTATGGATGCGTTTCGATATTCACTGCCATTACTGAAAATCTATGTACCTAGAGTACATTTCAAAACGTCCTCTCCAAGGAAAATTTTACTCGAAATATATAATACACGTAACTTATATTATAGTATATAGAGTAAAATCTTTCTCGAAGAGGATGTTTTGGAATGTAGCCCTAATGTATATTATAGATTTTCAATGACTGACAGCGAATATCGGAACACAATCAGACACCCTATTTATATGTCTTATTAACAGTAAATAAATCATATTTGGTTCATACATACTTTATTTCATATCATAATAATTTTAAAGGTATTTTTAAGCCCGTAAAAACAATAGATAATAAGTCTTATGCCTTAAGAAATTGATCAATCACAGTCAAATGTGAGAAGAATAATCGACAATGATTGGCCAATAAATTAAGGCTTAAAGCTTCTATTGTGTTTGCGGGATAAAACATTCTTTTAACAATGTTTTCTCTTTATTAAATATCTTTTTATCAAAACAATCTTTATGATCTTCACATAGTTATCACATACATAATGTTATAAAACAGATGTAATTTATTAATTTAAATTAATACCATAAAACAGATGTAATTTATTAATTTAAATTATAAATTGTTAATGATATACTACTGAGATAACCTGATAGGCAGATCAAAAAGTTTGTTATTAATATATGAAACAAATTTCATAAAGATTGTTTTCGTAAAAAGACCTTTGCGTTGACTTACATACTTCTTTCTAATTAATATTGATTTAGTCATACAGCATATAATCATAAAATTGCACTAACCTACTAAAGTAGCGATCCTCTAAAGAAAAAATCCTCAGAAATGTGCATAACACAAAGACGACGTCCTATTTAAAAACCTTGAGAAACGGTTAAACTAATTCCGTCCTAAAGAAAGAATGTAGAAATAATGATTTTAAAAATGTGTTAAGGACATTTTTTGTTAGTAATTAACAATGTACATACATACTTCGAAAAATATTGGTTAACCTCTAAAATAATAATTACGTACTATTATGATTATTTTAGGAGATGGAAACAAATATCATTATATCTTTAAAAATAAATCTATTTTTATTTTGTTTTAGTGTGTATATATTTCCTTATTAACTATTAAGACGTATAAACGTGCATTAATATTACTCACCTCGTCGCTCTGACACACTTTACCGACCATTCCAGACCAGTCACGACTACGACAGCTACGTTTTTCTCTGCCTTACCTTACGTTACGATTACGGAACTTGCGTCTCGTTACGTCTCGTTCTCTGCCATAGCCCTAACTTAGCGTAACTTTCGCCGACCAATCATATCATTTCACTTGAACATCAGTTTCTGTCTAGTCACTTTATGCTTTTTACGCTATTTTGTTGTTACGCCGAAATATGATAGAACCACCATGCGTCGAATCTAATTTCTGGCTCATTTTAGCTTATTCTGTTTGAAAAAATGCACAAGGATTTCGATTTTGCAACAGTACAATTATAGAAGTCGTGCGCCCCTTTGCATCGCGTGAAAAGTCGAAACCCATGTGGAATAGTACAATTATTGACTCATTTTGCCTCTGTGACAGATTTCCTAACCTTAATAGTCATCAACTTTAACGCTTAATATTTCAGATCACAAGGCAGAACGACGTTTTTTTGCCAGATTCTTTCGTTTCATGCAAAAACGCGTCGAATAAGCCCAAAAGTGATTTCACAAAATTTTCCGATTTTAATCATTTATTCGATCATCCGCTCATATATACGCGATGGAAAGGTACCGGTTCCCCATGAGGCGTACTTTTCGAGATGCGTAGGTTACGAAAACCAATCGTAAATTCATTTAGCATTTCTGTTAGAGTGTACAACAGAAATTCTAATCAGCAATTGGTTGCATTATTTCCGCATTTCTCTAATCTTCCGCGAAATACGCTCAATGTGAATGCGGGCTTTCAGAATGGCGTTTTCTAGTAAATAAAAAATAAGGTATTCTAGTAAATTACTAGAATACGCAGGTTACGTTTACACAGGTTACGCCGCATGTGACGGCACCCTTAGCATCGCCATAAAGCCTAAAACACCTATTGTAGATTTGACTAAAAGCATTTTTATCCGCGAGTGTACAGGAGCTCACTGAGTGTTTGTTCTTATTTTTAAATCTAATGGAGTATACCAATCAGGTGAAGAGCTGACTAAAGCCGTAATCACACTAGCGATTGGCGACTGTGATTGACGATTGAGGATTACTTTTCAACCAATCAGAGCCTGAAAGTCACCGATTTCTTTGCTCCGATTGGTTGAAAAGTAATCCTCAATCGCCAATCGCTAGTGTGATTACGGCTTAAGGGTGCGTTCAGGGAGCCACTACCAGTGCTATGTAGCTCTACCGCTGTTCAGGGAGCCAACTGATAGCACTATGAAACATTATCGTGACGCTATTGTTGATAGCGTTTGACGTCATGATTCGCGCTACGAATGCTATCGCCAGAAGCAGTGTGTTGATAGCGTAGCGTTCGTGTGCTCCACGAACAGCAATAGTGGCTGCGTTCGGGAACGTCGCTCAGATGCCTCCGATGCCTCGGATTCATCATCTGTCCTTGTTTAATATTAGATGTTAAACAAGGACAGATGATGAATCCGAGGCATCGGAGGCATCCGAGCGATGTTTCCGAACGTAGCCAGTGTAGTGAATACTAAAGTGAACATTGTTGGCTGATACTTCGAAATAAATGATCGCAATAGTGTTCATTATACTTAGCTTTTAAAATGGATTATATGGAAATGGAATAGAGTGATGAAGAGTTACAAGAAAGTTATACGTTAAAATTGAGTCCAACGGATGTTATTAAAGCAAAAAAGGTAATTATTCAGTTTAGTTACCGCACCTCAAAAATCAATAAAATGAGGCTTATTCGACGCGTTTTTGCATGAAACGAAAGAATCTGGCAAAATAAGTGTCGCTCTGCCCTGTGAGCCGAGATATTAAGCGTTAAAGTTGACGATTATTGAGGTTAGGAAATCTGTCACTGTCGCGAAATACTGCGATGCAAGCATGCATTGAGGTTGCCTTTTTCATGCTCTATGACAATTCACTACTTTAAAAACAATTCATTGCTTTAAAAACAACAATTCACTGCTTTAAAAACAATTCATTGTCTTAAAAACAACAATTCACTGCTTTAAAAACAATTCATTGTCTTAAAAACAACAATTCACTGCTTTAAAAACAATTCACTACTTTAAAAACAATTCATTACTTTGAAAGATTTTTTGAAAACAATTCACTGCTTTAAAAACAATTCACTGCTTTAAAAACAATTCACTATTTTAAAAACAACAATTCACTGCTTTAAAAATACAAATTTACTGGTAATGCAAAGAATTTGTATGTTTAAAATAGTGTATTGTTTTTAAGGCAGTTATGGCTGTTCTACAAAATGTGCTTTTTGTTTCCTGTTTCTTGCTGTTTGTCTCTTGCCTTCTTGATCAAAAAGTCAAGAGACAAACAGTAAGAAACAGGAAACAAAAAGCACATTGTAGAACAGCCATAAATTATTTTTAAGTGAATTGTTGTTTTTACAGCAGTGAATTGTTTTTAAAGCAGTGAATTGTTGTTCTTAAAACAATGAATTGTTTTTAAAGCAGTGGACTGTTTTTAAAGTAGTAAATTGTTTTTAAACTAGTGAATTGTCACAGAGCATGAAAAAGGTAACCGCAATGCATGCTTGCATCGCAGTATTTCGCGACAGAGACAGATTTCTTAACCTCAATAGACGTCAACTTTAAAGCTGGAAACACAATAGTCACAGGCAATAAGCACAGGCAACAGGGAATAACGAGCCGTCCAATCAGAGCTCTGGGTGGCACCCAGTTGGACACGGCTCAATTGGACACGAGCCACTCACAGCGCTTGAGACTACAAAGCTCCTAAGCACCGGTCGCTGTGATTGGTGGTGTCCAATCGAGCTGTGGTCAATCGGGATCACCCCCAGAGCTCTGAGATATAATATCGAACTTATACCCCAAAGCTCTGATTGGACGATTCGTTATTCCCTGTTGCCTGTGCCTATTGCCTGTGTCTATTGTGTTTCCAGCTTAACGCTTAATATCTCGGCTCACAAAACAAAGCGACATTTTTTTGCCAGATTCTTTCGTTTCATGCAAAACCGCGTCGAATAAGCCTAATTTTATTGATTTTTGAGGTGCGGTAGCTAAACTGAATAATTACTGCAAAAAATTATAAGGTTATGATTGTCCAATATTTTATAATTATATAATTTATCAAAAAAATCAATAAAATTAGGCTAGTTCAACGTGTTTTTGCATAAAACGAAAGAATGTAGCAGAATCTAAAAAATCTTGCCTTGTGCTCCATTTTGCCGTATGCGGTATTGTTAGGGCAAACATTACACTATTAGCGTGCATTCGTTTATGCAGCGGTTAGCGCAGTGAGTATCATTTAATCTTTGTTCAACGGGTGGCACACAGTTGTACACGGTTCAATTGGACACGGGCCACTCACAGCGCTTGAGACTACAAAGCTCCTAGGCATCGGTCGCTGTGATTGGTGGTGTCCAATCGAGCCGTGATCAATCGGGATAAACCCCTGTTCACAAAGTTTGTATTCGCTAGCGCTATCTTGACTACGTGAACAGAGATGGTAGCGTTAGCATTAGTAGTGCGGTAATGAGCTCCCTGAACGCACCCTAAGAGCTCAGTGAGCGATCTTGCTTCTGGATGCACCCAATGAGTGCGTTCAAGCAGGACAAAGCTGCTAGCCTGCTCACCGAGTGATTAAATGTGATTGGATGGGTCTATAAGTAATGTAAGGGTGCGTTCACGCCTTATCGGAAAAGTAGAAAGCGGAAAAGCAGCAGCCGATCAAAACTGATATTGGTAGTCGAAAATTTCAACTTTATGTACTACTTATTCCCAGCGAG